AATGTCACAACTCAGACTGCGTTTTTTGGTCTAAACAAATGTTTCGGCATTGTCATTCGCTGAGCTGCCTCCGTAAGTTGCGGTGATGGGCTCTCCGAGTGTTGTGCGTGAAAGTAGACGCACGAACATTTTTTTAAGTGTGTGGGTAGACCTCAAAGCAACCTGCCTTGAGGTCTACCCACTATCCTTCCATCAAAGTCAATCAGAGTTTGGCGGCTTTCTGACGTCACCACAACCCCTGCAAAAAAAGCAGACAAACTTGCGCTTCGTATTGCCCCAGGCAAAAAAACAAACAGGTCTTGTTGGCTCTATTAAGATGCAATGGCGTCGACTGAGTTCATTCAGTTTCGAGCAAGCTGAGCGTTTGTGAACGTAGCAGCTTGGGCGATTTGGTTGCTCATATTGACACACTTCAACGTACTACTGCAAAATTACACTCGCACCGTACACTCACTCCTTCCACACGAAAAAGAAAGGAAAAATCAAACGAGCCGCGCTGATTCACAACTCAGATTCAGAAAGCGTGTTTTGGCCTTTTGGGGAGGAAGAGTGGGAGTGAGATCGGTGGCTTACAGGCCTGGATCTATGGTTAGGGGTAGGAATTGAGGGGGGGGGGGGGGGGGGGGGGGGGGTTACAGATAGGCGGTTAGCCCCGCATCGTGGATGAAATCCAGAAGCGTGGTCATGACCGCCCGACGTTCGTCGGCAGGGCCCTGAGGACGGGTCCATTCCTCCATGCTGGAGACGTCTGGGGTCACAGTGGGGTCACAGTGGGGTCACAGTGGGGTCACAGTGGGGTCACAGTGGGGTCACAGTGGGGTCACAAACACCACATGCACATTGGCGCACCGGTGTGCATGTTGTGTTTGTGATTATCCTCCGGAACAGCAGCGTTGATCCCCTGCCCATTCCGCTCGGGAGCGGATTTACGCAGGGGGCCAGGGCTTCCCTCAGGGTTTGTCTTGAGGCTTCTTTGACGAGTTGTTTTGGCTCCTCGGGGTCGTAGTCAAGCTCTGGCGGGAGCGAGTACCCGTGTTCTTGTCACACTACTCGGCTCGCGGGGGAAATGAAGCTGCGCGCGGGCCATGCTGTGAGCAGCGTGTCCCCAGCCTCTTGCGCCAGTGTTTCAACCGCCTTGTTTGCCGAGAGTGCGAGCGAGAGGGTCGCTGCGCGATCGCTTGTTTTGCCCAGCATGGCTATGCTGTCTGCCCATAGTTTTCGAGCAGACGTTTTTTCCGAGAGCGAGGCACTGAATTCCAGTCACTTTTGTCGATCGAGCTGAACCGCATATTTGCGGACTGCTACCGATACTCTTGTGACCTCCCTCAGGACTTTCGCGTTTTTTCGGGCTTCTTCGGTAGCGTCGCAGAGCTCTCAGCAGCCGGGCCCAGAGATTCAGCAGGTGAAGATCCGGGGTGGGAGTGTCGAACTCTATTTGTTTCTTCGTGGTCGCGGCCAGGAGGGCCTTTTTGATGGACTCGGAGGCAATTGGTGCTCTGCTGCTTTAAAGTTTGTTCCGGTATAGATCCCAGTTCACGACATGTGCCAAAACCGTTTCCCGGGCTTGGAGGCCATGGATCCGTTAAGAGCCAGGACTACCCTGATGGGCAGGTGACCGCTCCCGCGAGTGTCGGGCTTCGGCTAGCTTCCAGGTGTGGTTGGCTGTGTGTGGGCTGTTTGTCCAAGCAAGATCTGTGATGGTGTTTTTCTGCCGAGCGTCGCAGCTCAGCCTTGTCTTCATCCCTGCGGTGTTCATCAGGGTGTAGCGGTGCTGGGTCTCCTCATCCAAAATATGTTGGCCTGCTGAGGTGTCCCGGGCGTAGCTCCACGCTGTGTGTTGGAGGTCGAAGTTACCCCCGACGATCTTCTGCTCTTTCGGGTAAAGCCCTTTGAGGTGTGAAATTCATCCGTGGTCCCTGGGTTCCTTGATGGAAGCCCGAGGTCGGTAGTACACGGACACAAGGATGACAGAAATGTCTTGCTGGGTGGTTCGGACGGTCGGACGGATACCAGTTCCTGATGTTCCGTGCACCATTGTTGAAGGTCGACCTTGTGTTGCGGCCAGTGTTTCTTGATGTAGACCATGACTTGTCCTTCACGGCCTCCGAACTGGCCCGCCCTAACGGACGGTATCGAGGGATTCGCTTAGGACTTGTAGCCGGTCAGCTTGACGGTGGTGCAGTAGACTTCTTGCAGTAGGTAGGCGTCTGGGCGTTCCTATGGTTTGTTACTATGCTTGCCTTTGAGTTCTGCGGCATGAAGCCGCAAACCTCGGCAGTTCTACTTAGTGACGTTTACTGCCATGCTGGGGGGTTGGGGTTGCTCTGCACAGCAGTTCCCATCTGGGCAGCGATGGCCGTGAAGAGCTGGAGCAGCGTAGCAGGGTCGATGATGATTGTTGTAGGTGGAGTGAGCTGGGGCGCGGGCTGTTGACCACCTCCCCATTTCTTGTGGTAGCCTTGTCGGATGAGCTTTGGGCTGTCTTGAGACCCCGGGGGAGTGGCGCGCCGTCGAGCCATCTCTCGAATTTTGCTGACAATATCGAGTCGCCTTGGGCAGTATTTGTCTGTAGCCAGGTGTCCAGTCTTTCGGCACATTTGGCAGAAAGGGATGGGGGAAGGACAGGTCACGTTTCCTTGGTCGTCCATGGTCTCTTTGTGGGTCTTGCCGCACGTGGAGCAGACCTGGGGTTCAGGACAGATGTCCGGCTTGTGGCCGATCTTATGACAGTTGCTGCAGCTCACAGCTCGCCCTGTACGGATATACCTGCAAGACGCTGCGCCTGTACTAGACGTGTTTCGGTAGATGGGTCCCCTAAAAGGTGATGAGTGCAGTAGTGCCTCCTCGGCTCATCGGCCGAGCTGCCACAACCACTGGCCCTTTAGTTTCCAGGCCTGCCATTAGTGAAACGTTCTCTTCTTCGTGGTCGATGCCATAGATGACACCACGGATTTGGTTGTCACCGACTGGCTTGTTCGCTTGGATGGGTAGAGGGGGTTTCCCAGCGATATGGATTTCGGTAATGCCAAATAGGGTGTGGGCGGTGGCTTCGGAGTTTACCATGACGGTTATTGTGTTAGTTTCCTATGGGGTTTTAATGGTGACCGCGCCCGGTGAGAGCTTGACGAAGGCGGTGATGGCCTCCATTAGCCCTTTTTCGGGGAGAGTTGTGACGTCTGTCTTGGTCTTTGGGTGCAGTGTGATTATGTGGCGTTCTTGTGTCTTAGGTGTAGACGGATAGTCTCCGGTACGCGTGTTGGATTTTGCACTAAGGCATGCCTTCTTGGCCACTTTTTTTGAAAGCTTTGTCACCCATGGTGATCGTTGTCGGTGACTTCTCTGTTAGCTGTGAAGGTGAACAGCGACGTTGAGGCCGCGGCAGCACCATCAGAGCAAGAGGAGAGCTCACTTGGGGAAGGATTTCAGGCAGCTGTTGCCGCCGACGGGGTCATTTCTGACGACCTCGTTTCCATGTATTGGCCACCGGGTTCGCGGTGATCAATCGCAACGACGGCGTTGTTGAGTTTTTTTCTCTGGAGGTTTTCTTGGCGAGATGGAGGTGGTTTGCCACCCGTTAGGCTGTGGAGTGGACGAGGTTTGATTCGATAGATTCTTGTCAGGCCGGGTTTCGAGTCGCCTTTCAAACGGACCTCGGAAATAGCCGTCTGGAAGTAGGCGTGCATGTCTGCTTTAATTAATTGTTCTAGGTAGCGATCTACGATCGATTTGCAGGAGTTGAGCACATTGCGGCAGGGCCTGGGCGGGCTGGTGCTGGTATGCTGTCATGGCGGTGGATACGGCTAGGGTGCCTACATGTTTCCGCCGCTCCGCTGTTTAGGGTGGCGACAACGTTTGTGGTACCGACAAACCAGTGTTGCCTACCTCGTTACCATGGCAACCTCGGCTGTTTTCGTCGACCATTTTGTCACACTCGCCGGTCGTGCGCTCGGACTACGCCGCTAATCCTCGTTAGGGCTAGGTACCGCTCACCGCTCCCGTTCCGACGGCGTGGTTTCGGCGTTCAATGCCGGTCTTGGCGTTCCATTTTGACGCGGGAATTCGCGTTTCGATAAAAGCAACGCACGCTTCCTGCTCGCAACTTCAAAATATGAAACATCCGAATAAACAGAGCGACAGCCACGCCATCCCGCTAAGCCTCCGACTCCTCTTCTGAACGGACACGGAAGTGGCCTCACAGTGTTGCCGGTATGTCGAGACTACAGATACTCAACGTTGTGTACGTTTAGCGAACTAAGATGTGGGAAAAAATGGAGGTGGGAGAGGATCTGGGAAAGGGAAACAAGAAGTTGGCGCCACCCTAAAGCGGAGCGGAAACATGTAGGCACCCTAGATACGGCCGGTTTTGGAGCCGGCTGGACCCATGGTGGGGAGGTCGTGCTGATGGGTGTCGCAAGTCCTGGTTGAGCCGGTCGCTGGGCCAAGAACTGCAAGGCGTAGAACTGCAGCGAATGTGTCTGCAAATTTGTCCACCATGTTCGACTTGCGCGCGCTGGGTTAAGTTGCGGAGCTTCGAAAGGAGACATCCTTCCTTGTCGGCGACCGAGCGCGCACTCGACTCACAGCTCATTTTTATATACTTTGTCTTCTTCTACGTCTGGGAGTACCGAATTTCCCAAATCAGGCACACGTATCTCCTAGACGCCAAGATAATTTGTTTCGTTTTTTTTCTGTCAGATTCAAAGATGGTGTAGTAATACAGTTTTTATAATTCCTGACGATGTGTTCAGCTTCAATAGGTTACCTAGTTAGTAGATTACTGTGTCTACCTAAAATTGTACAACATGACTGGTGAACTTCGCACCCGCAATCACGGCGTACGGTGTAAGTGTACTTTTTCAGTAGTGCGCTGTAGTGTGAGCGTTTGTAGTTCATCTCGTGCTTGCTTGATTTATTGGATTGATGTGTCAGGGAAGCGGCACGTGAAAACCACGCGGACAGTCCTTACGCGTCTGAATTCTACGTGGTACCGATTTGTATACTCACTGGGTAAGGAAAAGCACAACATCAGAACTTTGGTGGGGACTTCCACTCTTCATGTTAGAGGACATGAGCCTACTGGCACGTTTCACGGGCAGCTTTTCCGGGTTCTTCTTTCGCATAAGGTCCTCGACCTTTTTAGGCGCCTGTGTTCACACAGAGCCCACGTGCAAAGACAAAAGGACGATGCAATGATTAATATAAAATCAACTAAAACTAAAGTGCGCCTATTAAATCGTTCATTGATTTACTGTGGCCAAGGGAACTGTCTTATTTGCAGAATACGACCGTCTTTAATGGTACCAAAATAAAGCGTAACTCAGACCACATCATTTCATACATGACTATAATGAATTTTTTTAATTAGTGCAAATGTTTAAATAAGTAGAGCGATGAAACTACTAAGCGCTACCTTTGTGCGTCTCTAACGTACTCTCAGATATAAATAGTCAGAAACCTCCCCCGATCTTTAACTGCACACAAGGTCGAATCGGTTGTTTGGCGACCCTCTAGTGGTCTATACGCCGTGCACGCTGAGCAGGAACACCGAGGGTCCCCCGGATCTCCTGTTTAGCGGATAGAGTTATCCAACTGAGGCAACATTTGGATAACTCTATGTTGCCGGCGACCCTGTCACATCGAGGCAACAACAACAGTCGGGCAACATATTCCTGCCGCCCGGCCACCGTATTGTCCGATTTATTGTCCGACAACCCTGTCACACTGCACTGACGGCGGGGACAACACGGGGAACACACTCGCCATCTTAATCGTTTAAGTTCGTTCGTGCGCATCGCGGAGTCGCTGAAAATGTGACTAGAAAGTGCTAGTGCGTTCGAAGTGCCGGAAGTGACCACAGTACGACATAAACCAGTGACTGTGATTAGAAAAATTGACACGGAGAGTATTTTCCACCCTTTGTTTTATCAAAATGTTCTTCATCCGCTGACAAAGCAGATGGCCCAACCGAGGAAAGTGAGATCGCTGATATATGTTCGTTATTTACGCCCCCGTATGAAGTGTTTCTGTCCGGTTCTTTCTTTCATGCAATTTCTATTACTCCTGTAAAATTGAGTTAGCACCGGCAGTACCCCAAATCGCCTTTTGTGTGGTGTTGAGCTGAACTGATAGTGCTTGCAAACTGCGACACCGACGCGATCGGCCTTCATAAAAGTCGGTGGAATAAATAGTTTTCAACGCTGTCTATTTGCCGTATACCCCCTGCTATGCGATCGCTTCATTCCCCAAAGCGTCCTTAGTTTTTTTTTAACAAATCAGGTGTCTAGTAGCGGCTGTTTCAAAGTTCCAAAACATCCACATTCATTATGACAGTGGTCGTTTTAATCTCTTCAATTTTTAAATTTTCGCTTTCCTGGATTATAATTTTTTATACTTTATCAGCGGGTAAGTTGGCATGCCGTTTTATTTCACTAGCAGTAATGTGAGCTGGTCTCTCTGCGGTCCTAATTTCAACACCAGTCTGAACGTTCACGACCGTAGCTTTCGACAATCGCTTTCCGTAATTGCGCAGTAAAACTCATCAAATTATTTAGTTGCACGCCAGCCTTAATTATTGTTAAATAACGCTTTCCGAGCCGCTAGTTGAGTAAGATGTTATTGATAGGGAACTAGCCCTGCCATCGAAGCTATCTGTGTTGCCGTGTTTCCGGCCCAAAATTCGCTCAGCCAGCAATCAGGGCAACACACATTGTCCAGCCCAAGTTGCGGCTGTTTTCGTTGCCGAAAGCTGTCATACCGAGGCAATATTTTAGTTGTCGTCCATGATGTACTGCTGTTGCCGCAATGTGACAGGTTTGTCGGACAACACGGGGAGCGAGCAACAAGTTGCGCGACTGTTGGACAACGTGTTGTGTTGCTGTTGCCGTCGTTTTGCCTCAGTGTGACGGGGCCGTTATGGCTTGCGAATTGTCATTTCCGAATGGAAACAGCAGTCTTCACTGTCCCAATGTAGCGCTGCAGCCAGTATGGTAATTGTACCCTACTAAACAGTTTTAATAATGCGTATACACTCTAAGAAATGCCTGCGCGTCGACTTCCCCACAAAACACTCAATGGGCCAATCTCTGCAATCTACGAAATCAGCTCAGAGATTGATAAGGCGGAACATAGGTTTAAACCTCAAAATGAAGTCTGTGCTGCACATTACGCAATGCAAAGCGTCATGCTTGCATTCCGTAATGCCCCACCGCAGACTTCATTTTTAGGTCTAAACTGATGTTCCGCCTCATCAATCTCTGAGTTGATTCCGTAGATCGCAGAGACTGGCTCTTCGAGTGTTTTACGAGTAAGTGGACGCGCAAGCATTTCTTAAGTGTAGAAGCAAACGCGAGCGGTTGTACATTTGCGTTAGAGTTGCGTACTCCGCACGCGTGTCGTCGCCATGCGCCAATCCAAGACTGCAATGGTGGGCTCCGCGCACGCGCAGTGTGGAACAGGCAACGCTAACGCAAATACACGTTGATTGCGTTCGCTCGTATACGCAACCCTAAAGCTCACTACAGTTTCACCGGATTCCAACGCCAACGAAACGTACTGCAGTGAGCAGACGTGCGAGCGGGTAGGTATTTCTTCGAACTGGAAAGGATGAGATTGACAAAGCTACGGCGCGAAAAAATGGAACACCTAAATGCTCTAAAACAAATTTCTAGCTAAAAAAAAAAAAATTTTTTTTTGAGGGGGGGGGGGGGGGAGGGTGGGGGGGAGTTGGGGGATGTCTGGTTCAGATAGGTTGGCGGCGACTTAGAAAGTTTTACCGATTGCCAAAAGTCGCGACTTTAATAGCACCATATATGCTTTACCCCCAAATAATGTAATTTTTTACATTCATTCCTCAGATTAGCTAGAATCTTTTTATTGACTTTAAACTATTTTTATTTTATAACTTGTTCATTAAAAATGTTGCCGTTGGCACCAGTGACGATATTTTGCACACTTTTCATTGCCATACTTGTTCGCGCGTCTGAAATTGGATAATGAGCAACAAATTATATTAAAGTTTGAATAACTAGGTATTAAAATATTTTTCGGTGTTATTATTACAACTTGCGGCAATATAGTAGGCCCCCAATGAATGCCAAAATCACAAAAATATGCCATTTAACCATAATACCCTTTACAAAATTGTCTCATTCTGTTTTCTTTTTGGCATACGAAAATAGTCTAAGATAGACATATGAAGTGCTATGCGGCACACGTTGCCTTAAAAAAACATACTTTTGTTGTCTGATCTGGATTTCATTTTGGGGCTTTTGTATTGAGTAAAAACAGCCTTTCTTAACTTACGTGTTTCGTGAACCCATTCTGAACTCATAACGCGTGGCGATATTTTGTAAAATTTGGAATGATTCTGTAGTTCTTGTGCTTGGAATAACGCTAAACCAATTAATCATCTAAATACCTAAAAACCCATTAAAACGCGCGCAGTTCATTATTTCACATGACAATAATCTGAGCGAGAAAAGGCAATAAGGACACACACATATCATTACGTTGCCGCTAAAGTGTATTAAAAACCCTGTCTTTCCGCGAAACCACTACTTTAGCTCAATAATTACGCTGTGACACACACCTTTAGCTATGAAAGAATCCGTACACCTATAGCGAGAAATTAAATCCAAAATAGAAATTAGTTTCGGTTTCGCTACAAAATTAAAATGTGCCTCCTGTTGTAAATCTTACGATAAACACCGTTTTTGTTTTCAGGATGAAAAGATTACCTGCTCTCTCTCCCCCCCCCCCCCCCCCCCCCCTTTCCATAAAACCCTACACTCTAAAAAAATAGCCCGTAAGTCTGCTTCCCGCACAACACTCAGAAAGACAATCATCGCAATTGCTTACGGAGGCAGCTCAGCGAATGACGATGCCGAAACATCTGTTTAGACCAAAAAAACGCAGTCTGAGTTGTGATATTAAGCAATGCAAAACGTCACGCTTGCATTGGTTAATGTCACAACTCAGACTGCTTTGCGCTGATTGGTTCTCCAAGTGTTGTGCGTGAAAGCAGACGCAAAGACTTTTTTTAGAGTGTAGCTTCCTCGTATAAGCCGTAATAATTTGTGTCGCTCAGTGAAGCCAGCACACTAGACAGGCTCAGCAACTGATATACCAGCACGCTTCTCTAACATATATAACCGCCATTTTAGAACGCGAGTGGCGCCACCGATAGTGAATTGAAGTAGCGAATACAGATGCTCAATCTCAATAAACAGGCTGCGAGTCAAATAAAGAAAACTTTGAATTTCACATTTACTCATCCATGCATTGGTTGTGCTTCAATGTCTGGGACCCCTCCCCCAACTCTCATGATAAATATATGATAAACACATTTCTGAAATACCAAAAGATTGAACAATACACAGATCATGTAAACTAGAGACATGCTAAAATGTCAGTAAATAAATCCTTAAACTAGCTAGCACATGCGCAAAAGTGGTTCAAGGAACCCCACCATATCTCAACACAGAAATGCGAGCACAGAACAATAAAAGAATTAGTAGTCAAACAAGTTTCAAATTTCTTGTTTACTTCAATTTTCTGCGCTAATACCTTTTGCCTGAAGATCATTTAAAACTTGTGACAGCGTAAATGCCAGTTTCTGGACGCCGTAACTGGTCCTGAAGACTGGTTCTGACTACGTCCGTGAATGACGGGTGATCTTATGGCTGGGACATGGGACCCCAAACAGGAAATCAAACCAATGCGGACTCGGAGCCTTGTAAGGACAATTTATATGACATAAGAAGCTTATAGTTGTAAGAATTTGTTTTTCAATATATATCAAGTATTTTAAAACAGCGATTTCGTAAGGGGATTATACGCCACATTATACACAAGTCGCATTGCCTTTTTTTATATATATTTTTTGCAGTACCGAATAAAAGAAATAAGCTGTGTAAAGATGTATTTCTTCAAGCATGACTTTTGTATTCCAATTATTTTATAAATAGAGACATTTTTACTAGTTGTGCTCAGAGATCATGCCTTTTTGGTATGTTACAGTGATGTTATATAGTAACCTTCTTGAATATTAGTTTCGTATTAGTTGTGAATTGTATTCACTTCTTTTATCTTCATTCAGTTATGTTTTTATCATTATTTCTTCATAAATCCAACATTTGCCTATAAAACCTCATGGCGATGAAGTTTTTTTTTTTTTTTTGTAAATACATTGATGAATGAAAAAAGGTGCTCACGCTATAAACTCCAGTCAGCTTCAGCTGAATGCCCGGGTGCTCCAGCGCTGAAAGTCTGAGGCCAACCTGCAAACAAAAGACACCAACTCGAACGCTCGCAGCGTATCCTTATAACTGTCTTCGTAGCGATGCAGGTTTTAGATAAGACGTATCTGGGACGGAAATCCAAGGCGCATGCCTTGACAGTGTTCTGCCCCCGTTTCGCGGGTGCTTCAGGGGCCCTCAGAAGGAAGGTCACTGTAGTTACTGACAGCCGAAGGAACGCTGGACGTGGCGAGCCCGGAGCATATATCAGTGCTCCACAGCCAATCACATTACGGCATCAACCGATAAGAAATTTGAAGAACCAATCACAACGCACGAAGAGTGATGTTGCGCCATGGGTGTCCTAAGCTTTCAGTGAATGTTATGCAGCCGCTATATTTCTTTTATATGTTCGGAGAATAGAGCGTGTAACAAAATCGAGCTCAACAGATGACAAAACGTTTGAAAGCTGGAAATCGAACAGAGTGAATTACTGCCATAAGTGTTGAATTCTTGGTTACAAGTATATGCTGAAAACCCCAACCATATAAGAAACCCTAACGCTATCGACACGGACAGCATTAAAAATATATATGCAGTGCGTGGTATGTCGACGCTTCTTGTTTCATGATTCGTTTGTCAGCGTTCTTATCGACGAATGTCGCAATTTTATTGGTTGCGTGTAACAATTATAAGAAGCTCAAGACTTTCCGCGAACTACGGTTTCTAAAAAAAACACTCAACACCCCTCAACAAAAAAATTATTTTTATTTCTTAGGTAATTCAATATGGTGTCAGACCCAATCAATTATTCCTGCAGAGTCACGTAGATTTTCAATAAACTAAAATAAATCAACTGCTCGAAACCGAAACACGAGCACGGACGCTCATGGCCGGAAGTCACGTGACTACACCCGACTGCGTTTATTTTTTTTTTTCTCAACTTCTCCGGCATGTGAAGCAGAAGACGAAGCTGTGTGCACCGTTTGTCGTGCGATTGTTTTGCACTTACATCCCTTCCGCTCAATGTTCTGCGCTTAAAGGTCAATTGGCCCGTGCGATGAACAACAGTTCCGACATAGCGGCCCTACGTACGTCGTAACGTTGGTTCGTCGCAACTTTGGTCCGTCGTGCGCCGCCATCGCCTCGTCCAGCCTGCGGTATCAGTGGTGTCAACCTTATGAATTTTCCCCTAGATCTAGGGATTTCCGTCATCGTTTAGGGGCCAAGAGAAAGTGGTTCAAATCTAGGATTTTTTTTCGTGGGTTTTAGAAGGCTTTAGAAACAAGTTCCTTCCCCTTTCCCTCTGTACCGGCCGAGTGCAGTGGAAAGAAAGCTCCTTTGTACATCTTCGAAGCCAGAGATAATCTCCAGTGATAACAATAGCTATTTTTTTTTTAGGGGGGGGGGGGGGGGGGGGCATACAAGGCCAAACTAACGAAGTTTAATTTGAAAAAAAAAGGTTGCAACGTAGCATATTTACCCTTTAAATGACCACGCAACTACAGAAATATATAGTTTTAAGCCTACGCCATTACTATAATCTTAATACTGACGCAAATGAACACACTTTCTGAAAAACTAAGGAAATCTAGGAAATCAGATACCAAGGGGATACCAAGGGCACCGCCCCCTTGTCCAGGGGGGGGGGGGCGGTCTGGTTTGCCGCCCCCCCTCGCCCCCGGCCCTCCAAAAAAAAAGTTGATACGCTATTGACAGTTGGTTTCCCTCTAGTGGCTGCTCGGAGAAGCATCGAAAGAAACTAATTTATTCAGATTTATATATTTACTTACTTATTTACACGTGAACCTGCTGTGCTCCTTAGGGCAGTATTGCAGAAATGGTCCTACATGAATAGCTGAAGAATGAGCATCACTCTAAACAAAAGTCTGTGCGTCTACTTTCACGCACAACACTCGGAGAGGCCAATCACCGCAACTTGCGGAGGCAGCTCAGCGAATGACGATGCCGAAACATATGTTTAGACTAGAAAACGTAGTCTGAGTTGTGACATTAAGCAATGCAAGCGTGGCGTTTTGCATTGCTTAATGTCACAACTCAGACTGCGTTTTTTGGTCTAAACATATGTTTCTGCATTGTCATTCGCTCAGCTGCCTCCGCAAGTTGCGATGATTGGCTCTCCGATTGTTGTGCGGGAAAGCAGACTCACGGGCTTTTTTTTTAGAGTGATGGTGAATGCGACGCGGAAAACGTTTAGGGTGGGACCAGGTTCCAATTCCTTGCGGTCCGAACAAAAAAGAAATGATGAGTTACGGTAGGATGCAGTTTCAACCTTGAAGGGGGTGACTCGTGGTCGGTGACAGGTTAAGAATTAAGTTGATGCTTTGCCCCTAGCGCGCAGATTCTGCCTTTGAGGCAGTTCGTCGAACGCGCATGCCTAAGCCAAAAACCACCTAGAATAATGAAAGCCTTCACATGGCCTCGTCTCCCTTCATGAAACGTCATCAGAGTCGGATTGCGCTAACTCGGCTATTAAGCGCGAAACACATGTACGACGAAACCGTCCGATCCGACGTGCGGACTGCCGGAATGACCTTCGGGGGCGAGGGTTTTCGTAGCACCGGAGAGCGTTGAAAACTTTCGCCTCCGACCGTCGTATTGGCTGGTCGGATGTCGGATCGGACGGTTTCGTCGCACATATGTTTCGCGCTTTAGGCCTGAGCCCGACTTTTGACGCGCTGATTGGACACGAGCCCCAGCTGAACACCGACACAGCACTCGTGAACTGACTTTGATGACGATGCGATTGATCTGACTTTGATGACGGTGCGGAGGCCTTCTTGTCTAAGTGGTGCATAGCATATACTGACAAAGCCTGGCAAATCACCACGACAGGCGGCCGCCGAAATGAAAAAAGGTGGAACGACAGACAACGGATGAGAGGAGAGCCAGATGACTGGCACCCCGCTGCGGCGAGACGCCGAAACACACTTTTCCCGAGCGAACTAGTGTGTTTCGGGTCCTCGCCGCTGCAAAAGCAGTGCGCTGACATCCTGGTTCCCCAAGAAATGGCTCTTTGATGCTCTGTGCTACCAGACTCTTGCGCTCCAAATCTGCAACCGGCACTCTATGGCTCCGTCGTCGAACTGCCCGGCTTTGTGAAAATAGAGGAGGCTATGAGTGGTGCTGCCAAAGCCCAACGAAAGGCAGCGAGCGCGTGCTGGGGGCGGAGCATGCACTGGGTTCGTAGCCTTTCACGTACCGTTTATACTTTTTGAGACAAATGCAATCTGTAGTCACCGAGAGCTTCAGAAATGGGCGAGTCCCGAGTCATCCTATTATCGCTGCAGCTAATAAGATTTCTGCATTATTAACCGATAAGAAAGACGAACAACCTATCACGAAACCGAGAAGCTTGAAGATAATATTAAGCCACGCCCTGCACTTCTTTAGTTTTTGCTCGTTTCTGATCATACAGGGAGATCCCGAGGAAAGAGGGTCGTGCTTTATGGCCCGAGTAAATGAACTATATGCAGTGGCGTGCCAACTTGTTTTTGAGTTGGGGGGGGGGGGGGGGGGGGGAAGCAAATCAGACCCCCCCCCCCCCCCCCCCCCAGGGCCGGAGGGCGGTGCCCTTGGTATCCCTTGGGCGCGCCGGCCATGTGTTGGCCCAGCCTAGTGGCGGCTGTTTCGGGGGGGGGAGGAGGCAAAACCTTGCCCCTTTTACTCTGAGAACTGGAAGGGGGGGGGGCAAGTGCCCCCTTGCCCCTCCCCCCCCCCCCCCCCCCCCGGTTGGTACGCCCTTGACTGTATGCATCGCAGAAAGCACAAACTTGGTGAGAATGTGACGCCAAGGTTTGGGACAGAACGCGGAAGTTTGAAAACACGACGCTTCCTGGATCAAATGATAATTGAGAAAAAACAAAATTTCTCTATTAACCCCCCCCCAGCTAAGCCTAATGTCGTCAAATCAAGAAATTACATTGCGGGTGCCCGTAGAACCTATTTCAATACAAAAAGCTCCTCGGGAAAAAAGAAAACAATATCCTCGTTCTTGCTGATCACGAGTGTTTTTCACTTATCCTACAAGCGTCCATAACGTCCATTCTTGTTTTGACAATATTAGGCTTAGGTGGACATCGGCTCATGGAGAAATTTCGTTTTTCTTAACCCCTTAAGCGTTCCGACATGCCTAGCTCGTCAATAGAGTTTTAGGGAACCGTTTTTGCACTTCCGATACGGTATGAACTGCGCATGCGCTACAACAAACGACTCGCGCATGCGCAGTTCGTATCGGAGGCCTGCATCGTACCGTATCGGATGTGCGCAAGCGGTTTTCTAAAACTATCTAATGTGGAGCCGCCTCCAAACCGTTCAGGACGAGCATAGCTCGTCTGCTTTCCCCGGTTCACGCACTCAACCATTGGACGAACCAGGCTCGCTCACGGTTTAGTTCGAGGCTCTGCCTGCAAAGGGAATTCAAGATTTTTTTGTTTTAGTTTTGATTTTATTTTGTTTTTGGTTAGAAACTTGATTTTGAAGGCAAAAAATGGAATTCTGAAGTCAACAATTAAGCAATCGAGGATGAAAAAATTCTAAGACTAAAAATGGTTAAAGGGTTAATTATCTTTTGACCCTGGTATCAACGTGCCCTCAAAATTTAGCATTTTACTCCAACCGCTAGTGTCACATTCTCACGGGGTTTGAGCTTTCTGCTATGCATAATGTATTCACCTGGGCCAAAGAAAAAAAAAACAAAAAAAACAAGGTTTCTGTTTTTCTCGAAATGCCTTTGCGTTAAAAAGAATGCCGCGAGTTCACTTTTCTGAAGAACACGAAAATTGTCCAACGACAACGAACAATATAAGGATCCAAGGCAATGATGTAACTCTGAATATGACTACACTAAAAAAGAAGGGGAAAAAAACTGTGACGTGTGGAGACAGTTACCCGAAGCTTCACTTGCCCATTGATACCTAAATTCATCGTTTATTTTTTCTTTAGATTTAATTGCTATTTTGTTTTTGTTATCGCAGGGATCCTCCTACAGTTCGATGTGATTGGTTGTCTCCGTGTCTTGCAGGGATGTCAATTCACGGGCCTTCTTATTCTTTAAAAAAGGAAACAAAAAAAAAACAAAAAAAACAAGAAAACATATTTAATATAATGCGCACTTTTCAGAACCGAATGGCAGAAGAAAAGCCAAAAAAAAAAAAAAACTCACCGACGCCATTACGAGGATCAGGTATGTAATCGGATCGTCAAAGAATGGGCCTTGATAAATTTTCAAGAGCAAGTCAGCTTCTGCGACAACTATGGTCTTGAGGGTCACACCTAAAAGAGGTTTGGTTTTTTTTCTTTTTTTTTTCAGATTAACAGTAGTTCACCGGACTTACGTTTTTTTTATCTAGTATACATTTTTATTGCATAAGTTCCCCCATGTTCTTTATTAACTACTTTTTAACGCATGTCTATGTTTATGCATGCTGTGTTGCATTTTTGGAGCTCGGGTTCCAGCCAAGCTGTTTCTGACAGCTTTCCCCCCTCGTCTTCACCGACATTTTGTTACATTTTAATGCGAAAGCATTAACAGTCCCATGGAGCGAACCGGCGTTATCAGCTCTTGAAGCCGCGCCGAACGGTACATAAACCTCCGTGTCCCAATGGAGCCAAGCCTGTTGTCTGTAGCAGCGATCTGATGGATAGGCACCATTAGCTGGCGCGCGTCATAGTTTCAAGAAACGAGGCTCCCATTGGCTGCCGCGCGACGTAGTTCCAAGGACCGCCACCAGAGAAGCCCTCACCATAGAGGCGCAACGGCCCGGCCGCCGGTTAGAGGGATCGGCTGGCCGCAGAGCCAACACTGCCCGGACGGGCAGACTCCGGAGTGGCTGCACGGCCGAGCTCAGCGCGGCGCGGTCACTTTACGAGAGCGCGCGCTCGGCCGTCGGGAGGCGCAAGCGGATTGCGATTCAAAGCGTCTCAGGCGGCAAGAGGACGAGGCGGATGCAATACGTCGCAAGCAGCACGCTCTCTCATTCACAACTCCTAAGAAGAAATTATTTGGTTTAGAAGAACCGGAACGCTGTAGCAGAACAGACTACTGCGAAACACTTCCAGCACTCCATATTATTCTCCACCTCCTGTTACGCGTAGATTATCGTCACTCCACTTCCTGAATATCCTTTGGACGTAACCATTTTAAATTTTCTAATCTTTGGTTAGGGTTATGGTGCCTGGAACGCCTATCCGACTGTGTTTACAGCGTCAAACAACAAATGGCCCCTCGATTTCTACCTGGTGACGTCATAGAATTGTCACGCGGGCGCCGGCCGCGACCCTGGCGGTGTCACCGCAGTGGTGGTGGATGTGGTGGAGGACAGCCGGGCGCGCTGTTTGTAAGAATGTGCTGAGTGTACGAATGCTTTCGCATTCCTACACGGAAGCAGTCTTAAAGACAGACGACCAGTTCGCGCTTTTCACTTTTCACCCGCTTCCTCCTTTTCCTAACTCCTTTTCTAAGTCTTTCTACGCGATACCATAGCCTCCTCTATACTCACAAAGCCTGGCAGTTTGACGGCGGAGCCATAGAGTGTCAGGTCAAAGATTTGGAGCGCGAGGATCCGGTAGCACAATGCATCAAAGAGCCATTCCCTCGGGGAACCTGCACGTCAACGTGCAGCTTTTGCGAGGGTGAGGACCCGAAACACACTTGTTCGCTTGGGAGAAGTGTGTTTCGGCGTCTCGCCGCAGCGGGGCGCCATCACGTGGCTCTCCTTGTCATTGGGTTTTAGAGACAGCGAAGGTAGAGTGGATTTCAAGACTGTAGAGATTACCAAGCAAAGATTAAGTGAATGGTGGCAGAAATCAAGAGAAAACTAGGTATTTTCTTATTCACTGATGGCTTCATAGCCTCACTTTATTTGCACTGCGGAGTGAATATAGATTTCACATTTAAATATTCTAAGCTTAAATGGTAAAACAAAATGGCTAGGTGGCGTAAGCTACCGCCCGATCCAAAGGGCTCAGCCGTATTCATCCATCCATCCATCCATCCATCCTTCCATCCGGTGTCTGCCGCTCCCCTTTTCTATTTCAGCGGCCGCTTCTCGTGGAGATCTGCCAGGCTTTTTCAGTATATAGGAGGCGATGGTGGTACGAACTTCTCCGTAGACTCCGACCGTTCTGCAGCCGGTGGTCGCTATAAACAATGTTCTTTACAACGCGCGTCAGCGATGAAAGGAAAGAAAGAGAAGCTAAAAATGTCGACCGATGCCCCTTGAAAAGAATAATATGGCACTTGCTCTTTCTGAGCCCACATTTCCAGAGTCGGAGTGTTAAAAATTATACAATTATCGGCAGATTATTCTGTCGTATATTGTTTCTAAAAGACCGGTTGTGAATGCACTGTTTACAGTACTACCAAGATCACTGATAAATATCAAACTCATAACAATTCTAAAGCAAACATAGGAATTATTTTTGTGGCTGGGAATAATTGTATAGTTGGGTTTCATCTTTTAATTTCACGCCACCATTGGACAAGGACCGTGACCTTCTTGAGGGCGGGGATGTTGGGAAACAATGTTTATTACGTCGATTTGTAATTCAACTTTGACCCATTCCTTTCGCCTCTTTCTACGTCATGCGTGCTAATGCGTGCCGCTCCGTTGAGCCCGACCTTTCGGCGGCTGTAACCGCCAGACAACGTTTCTTACGACGGGCGATACAGAAAAAAGGAAAAAAATAAATAAAAGCTAGAAACATGGACCGTTCCGATTTGGAAATAATAAATGACGCTTGCTCTTTCGGGGCCGAACTTTCCAAAGTGGGAGTGTTAAAACTTATACCAAGATTTTCTTTTTGTCGTATTTTTTTCCCTAAAGACACGTTGTGAGGGTAGTGTCTACAGTACTACAAAGGTATTTCATAAATTTCAAACCCATAACGACAATTCCAAATCAAGAATAAGCAATTTTCAGAAAGTTTGACTTCACTCATGCACTCTAAGAAATCTGTAGCTTCTATTTTCTCGGAAATCACTTGGGGAAACCAATCTCTGCAATCTATGCGAGCAGTGGCGTACCAACTTGTTTTTAAGTGGGGGGGGGGGGGGTAAACCTGCCCCCCCCCCCCTCTAGGGCTGGGAGAGGGGGTGGTGCCCTTGGTATCCCTTGAGCGCCGCCAGCCAGTGTTTTCCCTGCCCAGTGGCGGCTGTTTCAGAAGGAAAAAATCACGACCTCGCCTTGCCCCCCCCCCCCCCTCCCCACTTTGAAAACTTGGCGGGGGGGGGGGGGGGCGGGGAGCAAGCGCCCCCCTTGCCCCCCGGTTGGTACGCCCATGTGTGCGAGGGATCTCGGCGAATGGCAATGCTGAAAATATGTTTAGACCTAGTAGAAATTAGTCTGCGTTGTGGCACTGAGTATAAAGTTTTATCAAGTCAAGCAAATAAATATCAGCTTAAAAGAATTATCCTCCAGCGACGTGCCAGACTTTAGAAAAAGAAAACAAAAATACTAGGCTTACATATTCTGTCAAAATTATGACAAAATTACTTATAGCACCAAAAAGAATTGTAATTCACACTATAAAATTCTAGCTTATTGAGCCATATGATACAGTGTAGCCCGTCAGATGGTTCAAAAATGATTTAACTGGTTTTCTTTGTGGTTCGTTGCCAAGATGTTGAGATAAACTTCGCGAACGGTCATAGACTGGGTTGTTCAAAACCATACAAAATTCGTAGCCTACTCACTCGACCATTGGTCCTTGGGCCAGTTATGACTTCTGCGTCTGGAATCTGAGTAAAAATAATCATTGTTATCTTTCACTCATTTTATTACAAGAACCGCCAACAAGGTTTTTGCACATAGTCTCGACTCGCAGGGCTGGCCACGCTGCTGCTCGCGAGCCGCAAACGGCTCTTTGCTTGTTAAAATGCGGCTCACGGCTCCCTAATAATCCTGACCCCGTCACAACCACCGTCGTCGTCTCACCGTTTGTGATTATTGTATCTCTGACACTACGGACAATACGTGCACAGACTTATGCCGCAGTCGTGCAGACGTCGTTGAATGTCGTAGACACCGAAACGTGGTGAAGTGTGCGGTGCAGACGACACTTGCGCCTGGCACACGCCCGCCCTAATACCGCCCGTCGTCGCGTAGAGGATCACGTGACAGCTCGTACCGCGTGCATGTTCTTCGCGGCCCAAGGCCGATGTTGCCGGACGGAGCCGAAGTTTCGGTTTTGATTTTAGCTCGTGTTTCAAATCAGATTTAAATATATATATCCCAATTTTCGCGAAGCAAATGGCGTGGTGTCTTTTACTAGGGCTTTTTACTCCGAAATCACTCATGATCCTAAAATCTTCGGTATTGAGCGGAGATGCCCTTTTACAAGCACTTCGCACCGAGCATATTGCGGAATATTGCGAAAAGCCAGGAGCCGCGTCGTTTCAGCTTTCTGGTGTGAAATAATGGTTTACTTTGACCTTTGCGAAAGAGCAAGAGTTGAAAACTATAATCATGAAAGACAGAGTGTTATGCCGGTTGTTGAAGGCCATTCTTGAGCGTGAAAGGTCGGCGGCACAGCCAATGCTTAGTGCACGTGGCAATAACGCCTCATTCACATTGGTGGCTGAACCGCATTCACGCGAAAACGAGCGAACGCGCTTCGCAGTTGTTAATGGAACGCCGTGTGAAAGCAAACGCAACATAAAAAAAAGTGCGAGGCTCTCCGTTCACGACAAGATCTGGTGGCGTACGTTCCTCTACGAGTCTATTACGACGCGTGGTGCAAGTCGTCGCAGTGAACGGTAACTTTATCGGTCGATGAGGAGTTTTAGCGAGTCGTTTCTTGAGCCCACGGTTCCGAAATCACGAACGGTGCAGCTGGTGCGTTCCGTGAAACCGTACGTGAAATTTAACATGTTTTAGCGAATCGTGAAACTGGCGCAAAAGTGTAAACTATGATGATGATTGTGGTTGACGGTGGTGCCATCTTCTAGTCAACATGTTATAGTGATAGTGATAGTACTTTATTGCACTTAAAAAGTTTGTGGTGCCGTTCGGTGTGCAGGTGAGGAGGGAAAGGCGTGCGCCCATACACATGTTGTGCCCCTTTCACCAACCGGACGGCGCTATGAGGACTATTTTAGTTCTTATGAGGACTAGTCTAGACAAAAAGAAAACACACACGCACTCTCTGCAACACGAGCCGCCGTGCGGCTCGTGTTTCCGGCGTACGACTGATGTAAACAAGGCGGCCGACGTATCATTTGCCGGTCAGAATTTCAAGAACTGCGAAGCTAGATAGAGTAAAAAGTATCTGAACGGCCGTAAAGGTGTGTGGCGTGTCTCCGTCATCTTGAACTTGAACGATCGTTCACGTTGTGTTGCCGTCGAACCAAATCATTTCGTCTGCTCGCGGTCGCCACGGCAGCAAGTCTGCCCGCAGATCGCAAAAATTTACTAGCATCCACAGTTTACAGCAATCACGATCGCTTACCATTGTGAGCATTCCTCGAAATGATTTGGTTTATCCTCTCAAATGAAGCAGATTATCAGGTCGGCAAATCGCCTAGCGCTGCCCTAAGCCTAACTCTCGGCTGGGACGGCGAAGTCAGTCGCCAAGCCGACCGCCATATCTTTTTTTACCCGAGTCATGAAAGGTGCTGGCTGCGTTGCGGTGACGACTCCAGCGCCTACGAGAAGAGCCTGACGAAAATAATCTCTGGAGAAGGGGAGCAAGAGGAGCAAAGGACAAACACAAATCTCCAAACACAGCTAGGTGACTGGTGCGCGACCGAAAAAATTTACCTGGTCCGGGTATCGAACCCGGGACCTCTCCATTTCCAGTGGAGCAGATTTTTTTCGGTCACGCACCAGTCACCTATCTGTGTTTGGAGATTTGTGTTTGTCCTTTGCTCCTCTTGTTCCCCTTCTCCAGGGATTATTTTCGTCATTCTTGTCCAGCTCGCTTGCACCTTTGCATTCAATTGCATTATAATCATAACCTTAAAATGCAAACCTTTCACCCTTGTCGGTGTTAGACTGGTAGCAGGTGATACAAACCCTGTTTGCTCTACTTTTCGGTCGCGCACCGATGCCCATACGTCATCTGAATAGACGGATCCCACTAAGCGTTCCTCGTATGCTTGACGCCGCCATAACTGTAGCCGTAGCCTCCTCTATACTCACAAAGCCTGGCAGTTCCACGACGGAGCCATAGAGTGCCTTGTCGCAAAGATTTGGAGCGGGAGGATCTGGTAGCACAGAGCGTTCCTCCGGTAACCCGGTCGTCAGCGCATAGCTTTTGCAGCGGCGAGGACCCGAAACATGGTTTTCAAACCCGACGAGAAAAGAAGCGGTAGCGCGAGGAACGCGATGAGCACGAGCGGACATTCCGTCGCACGGGAGAAGTGTGTTTCGGCGTCTCGCCGCAGCGGGGCACCCGTCACCTGGCTCCCTCCTCTCATCCGTTGTCTGCCACTCTACCTTTGCGATTTCGGCGGCCGCGTCTCGTGGCGATCTGCAAGGCTTGGTCAGTATAGAGGAGCGGCTATGCTGTAGCTCATAGGACGCAGGGGCCTGTTCACGAGAGACAGCTCGTGCCGCTTCGTGCTCTGCTCGCGCAAAACCTCAATAGGGTTGTCGCTCATGCAGAAAGAATGCAGTTTCCAAGATGCATGGCGGCAGTGGTGGCGTAATAAAGCTGGCTGTGAGGTCGATCTATTCATTGCACACCGGCAACAGGACACTGTCTAATATAATTCAAGACATGCCACTTAAAATATTACCTTGAGTCATTTCAAGTTCTTCGAACCAGGAGTCGTCCTCGTCTTCTATTTGAATGAAGGTCAGGATTACACAATAATATGTGTTATCATCCAGTGAAAGTCAACATATATGAACAAAAGACACACTGTCACAATCACGTCTTGATGTTAGAATAATTAAAATAAATTGTTCCTGTTCCTTCCCCCTTTGATAACTAAACTGACATTATTAATTTACATGCATGCGGCGCTTTCTGATGCTACCCCAAATTTTCTCGCTGAAATGGCTTTACACTCTAGAGGCTTTACGCTCAACCGCAATAATAAATTCCGTGGTTCCTTAACTTTCTTTTTATGCGTATAACCTTCTGTTGTAAAACTTCGTGGTCGATTTGCTAGAGCAGCGTCTCAGCTGAGACTGGGTGAAAGTAAGCACTACAAAGGCTGGATGCAGCGTCTTGAGACGCTGCATGAGTCCCGCCCAGCTCGTGCGCTTTCTTTGGCGGTGTTCTCTTTCCGCCAGTCTCAGCTGAGACACTGTTTCTAGCAGTCTTGGGTAAGTTACTTTTAAAAAGTAATTCGTTACAGTTACAGTTACTTTCAGAAAAAAGTAGCGAAGTTACCGTTACAGTTACCGCAACAAAAGAGTAACTCGTCACAGTTACAGTTACTTTTAAAAAGTAACGATGTTACTTTTCAGTTACTTTTCTATAACACGAAACAAAATTAGGAAAAACTAGAAAACGCCCCTCACCAAGTTTTATTTCATAAAATTAAAAAGTGCGCTTTTTACTTCCTATTGTAAGTTAGCAGAAGTTGCATCTCGAAATTAGTGTTTGAAAATTTCCACACCGGAGTGGTGGCGCAAATAAAAATACGAAACATGCGCAGTGCGGAGTACTGGCGCTAATCAAAATACAGAACATGCGCAGTGCCCTCCGCGTGTATTGTTGTTTTACGGCTGATTCACCCAATCAAAAAGCGTTTTTCACAGAAAAAAGAACAACCACAACTAGATAGGGCTTCAAGACACTAAGATGTAAGTGTTCAGTCATAATGTACAAGCGCGTGCGTAAAGATAACTAGATTTTTTTTATGAAATCTACACGTGGCTATATTCGGGTCGTGACTCGTGAGAAAGAACGTATTCACAAGTTTGTGCAAGGCCAACTTGACACTCCAAATGTCGGAATAGACGATTTGAAAAGTGCAAGGGATATCTAAATTGTACTCGTTCAGTGAAATATCATTCATAAAACACCGGAAAGTAACGACAAAAGTAACGTCGTTACTTTCATCGTTACGTCAAAAAGAAAAGTAATAGAACTACAGTTACAAGTTACATTTTAAAAAAAAGTAACTCGTTACAGTTACAAGTTACCAAAAAGTAACGAAATTACAGTAACGCGTTACTACCCGGTTTCTAGCAAGCCGGCCCTGAATTTCTTTATCACCGCTACGTCACATCCGTACGAATTTCCCGCTTACTGCGTTGCGTAGTTTATTTATGCGGGTCGAAAACCCGAATTATATTGTCTCTCTCGGACCCTGTATATTCATTGTCATAGTGTTTGTAGCAAGAAAGTATATATTGGCTTCTCACTGCTTAGGCGCCTGGTGCCTGGCTTGGTTTGCTGCGCTTTCACGACGGCACGTACGGCGTGAGGCATCGGGCCGCCCCGCGACCGACCCATTGCAGCCAACGGCTGGATAGAGTGCGTCGCATTCACCAATCCACGCTATAAGAGAGGACAAAAAAAGGAAAGAAATGCGGTAGCGCTAATTAGCGAAGCCTCGGAACGCCGAATACATTCGTTCCCGAATGCGCTTACCATTCGAACGAAGCCGTCCGTTTGCTCCAAGGATAACGCGGCAAAGCGCTCACGGTCCACGTGCAACCACTCCGAAATCTTTTGGCCGGATAGCTGTTTAGTGATAAATCAAGATAACTCCGTGATTACCAGAAATAAACGCGACGCAGGTCAGTTATGATAGATTGCACGCAAAGGCTAGAGTGATCGTACCGGCTTTCAGAGCAAAGCCGATGAAATCTTTTTTTCAACCGAAATACCACGAAGCAGTAGTTGTCCGCAATCTTTCTAATGCAGAATGACTTTCACCAGCATTAAAGTCGGCCTTTCTGTAGCCGTACCGCGCCGTCGCCACGCGGCTCTGTCCTGATCGGCTCTTCCACCAGCCGAGCGTCACCCGCCGACACGATCACGTCGCCTGATGCCTTATGCGTGTCTTTTTAATGACGCTACGGTGTGGGTTAACGAATTTCGTCCTAATAAATTGAGCCGTAGAGTAAGCAAGAGTCTCAAGAACAAAAAAAAGGAAAGTATATTTTGCATCAAAAGATATAAAAACTATTTTTCGCCAGCATTACGACTGTGTTCGCGCTTTGCGTCCAAATCTGCGCATGTCCCGTGAATTCATTATGCGTACAAGATGTCTGGCAGATAGATCAAGGGAGCGCCTCGAAATTGTTTGTTTTTAAGCTTTTCCTATTGGCGCGATAAACTCCTTGAATAAGACGTTACAAAAAAAAAATCGGAACTTAAAAATACTATTGTAATTAAAAGGTTGAGAACGGCAGTGATGTTATACCGCCTCCAGCGCGATGTTCCTACCTTCAACGACACTTCGGCCTCTGGTGACCTTCGAGCGTGCACGCGCACTCGAAGCACGGCGGAAGCCAGCGTGCGCGTGCTGGCGGCCGGGCACTCGAAAGAGATGCCCCGTCTTTCTCTTCCTAGCAATGGCTACAGCACGTAGACTATAGGAATCATTCGCATGTCATTGTCAGTTAGACCTGTGGACAAAACAACTTAAAGTATGCTTTGCATAACAGTTAAGGAGCCTACGGTCAGTACGCCGCTTCATCACGAAGTGCACAGTTATGGTTCATGGGCTGTGAGAAGCGTGCACGTCGGCAACATTGGGTTCGGAAGAGGCAACCACAATCAGGAATCAGACCATCTGGATTGCATAACCGCAGGAAGGTGCAATCAATGATGCTGCACTTTCAGAAGCTCGTGGGAAAGGTGTCTCACCGTTTGCTTGACTTCTTTGCCGTCTCGAATCAGAGATACGTCGAGCTCGTCGGCAATGAATGAACTCTTTGTGAGGTGCAGGGCTAAATGCTCGTCGATGCGGACTATTTTTTTAGCGTCCAACGATCTCCCCTCAATGATGCTTGGGTACACGATTCGAGGTTCTTGAAGAGCTGCATGCAGTTTAAGTACCTTTAAGTTTTTTTTTTTACCAACAAACTTGTTTCCACAGCTATTCTGGCAAAAGCAACCGGTTCAAGACGTCGAGCCATCCGTA